ACTCTTGAATCCAAGCGAGGGCTTCTCTCTAGGGCCATTTCACTCATTAAAAATCTGCTTTGGGGCTTCCCTGGTGGCGCAGTGGTTGAGAGTCCGCCTGCCGATGCAGGGGACACGGGTTCGTGCCCCGGTCCGGGAAGATCCCACGTGCTGCGGAGCGGCTAGGCCTGTGAGCCATGGCCGCTGAGCCTGCGCGTCCGGAGCCTGTACTCCGCAACGGGAGAGGCCACAACAGTGAGAGGCCCGCGTTTGGCAAACAAAACAAACCAAACTGCTTTGAGTCACCCAAAGCTCCAAAGTTTGGCAGTTGTCCCTTGGTCAACCACTTTGGCCACATTTGCAGATCTGTATCCTAAACTGGAAGGGCTTGGCTTTCTTGCCTGCTGAGCCAACAGGTCTGGGGAGGAAGATGGTGCTGTTTTACTGGTCTGTGGAGCATGATTCATTCAAGGAACCTGTAACTATCAACTCGAGGCTAGAAGAGGCATGAACAGGAGGGAGAACAAAATCAAAATAGGTAGTTTAATCTGTAGATGACTCTGGCAATCTTAAAAGCTAATCATGGAGATAAATGGAACTTATTAACACAACCCATGTAATTTATGTTGAAAAATAATCTTTGCTAAATCCTGGCTTATTTTAATCTGAACCATTCAAAGACTTATGTTGTTTTTCTCACACAAAGGGGCTATAGATCTCAATTCCCAGCTCACAGTGAGTTCACCACTGTGGCTGAGAAAGCCTGATGGGCTCAGGGTACTGTCATGTTTTTATGCTATGCCTGGATGGTGGTGATGATGGTCTATGAATGGAAAACACTATCACAATAATGAAGGCTAAGAAGTTTGCCAATGATAAGGAAAGACACTGCAATGGAACCATCAGAGGTGCAGTTTTAAAATGCTGCAGACATTCAACCATCTCAGGCACTAAAAATTCTAACTTGAGATGGAAGGTGAAGTAGGAATCAGGAGAGGATGGTTATGAAGGCGTAGGATGGCTATGAACAGGTTCCCACTCTCCCCGAATTATCAAAATGTAGAATGTGTAAATCCTCTGACTCAAACACTCCATGTATGGGGAAGAAATCATATATATATATATATATATAGATAGATAGATACGTAAAGATATTCATAGCTATGTTATAAACAACCAAGAAACTGAAAAGCCTATCAATAGGAAATTGGTTAAGTGAATTACGGTATTAACAGAATAAAGCAAGTTATTAAAAAAATGGCTGGACTTTCTCACCTTCTGAGATGGCCCACACTGTCTGTGAAGTGTGTTTCTAAATAAATCCACTTCCTACCTATCCAAAAAAAAAAAAAAAAAAAAAAGGCTAAGATGGTAAATTTTGTGTATTAAAAAAAGAAACTGTCCTATGGGCTTCCCTGGTGGCACAGTGGTTGAGAGTCCGCCTGCCAATGCAGGGGACACGGATTCATGCCCCGGTCCAGGAAGATCCCACATGGCCCGTGAACCATGGCCGCTGAGCCTGCGTGTCCGGAGACTGTGCTCCGCAACGGGAGAGGCCACAACAGTGAGAGGCCCGCGTACAGCAAAAAAAAACTGTCCTAAAAGGAGGGTCAAATTTGTAGAAAGTTGTAAATGTAAAATAAGCAAAGGTTTTTGCAGAAGGGTGATATGAGGAGGAAAAAATTCCTCTTTTCCAGTCTGAGCCAAGGCCATCCTTGCTGGTTTTGCACAGCCCAGCTACTTAAAATGAGATGGGTCAGAAACACACCTTGTACTTTGTGAGCAGAAAGCAGCCACCATCAGGAAAATGAGTTAGGTCTTCACTAAAGTTTCACCATCCATTACACCAAGAATCATTTAAACTCAAATTCCTTTCCACAGGTTTTCATACCACAAAATAGAGTGCACACAGAGCATGAACTAGGGCTTATCTTGATACAAAGTGTAGGAAAAAAAGCGGGGGGCATATATCAAGAACATAGTTGGTAGTTGCCAAGGAAGTAGCTGTGATTTAACAACCCTAGCAAGGTTGCTAATAGAGCAAATAGAAATTGGCCCTACTTTTGATAATCAGGTGCAATGACTGAAACTTCAGTATTTTGTCCTCGTCAAAGGTAGGACATTACTGCTGCTCTTGGTATATCGATTTGGATCAGGTCCTCAGAACCAATACATCAATGCTGCCGTGTATGAAGCACAACGACAAGATGGTTCAAAGATCATTAAACTTGTATCTAATGGCAGCAATTTTCACCCGAAGTTTACAAATGCTATTGGCATGGATACATTTGACATTTCTCTACTAAATGTAACATACTGCCTTTCAATTTTCCCATTCTCTACTGTACATTTGGCTTTGCAGAATTCTTAAACTGTATGGAAATTATAAATCTAAGGCAAGAACTATAATTTCAAGGAAAGGCCAGGGCTAAAAGTCTTAAGATAAAGCCTTTTACAAGTATTAATATAGCCTTTTAAAAATTAATCATGTATTACCTGACAGTCCTCTCCCTCAGAACTTTTCCAAATTAACTAGTATCTTAATTGAGCTCTAGCTTGTGTCAACTATAAAGTTTATAATTCAGCAAATCATACATGGAGTGATGAGAGGTACCTACTTCCATTTTGCCATTCACTTAAAACTTCAGTAAATTAGCTGTTCAAGATTTTATTAATGTTCCAAGCAAAAGACAAAGGGTTGACTTGGGAAAGCAGTATCTAGGGCTCTGAAATGGGTGTCTCCCATTAACGACTCTTTAAAAAATACTTTGCGAGTGCCCCCAAATAATGATTATTTTCCAACATTCCCCTTATTTTTAGTTTTTAATAGTAGCAAAACCAGTACTTCAAGGAAGTTATCTAAACCAGGTGTCTTGATTACAACTGCCTAGCAGTAACACTTCAGCTACAGGGTAAACCAATCAAAGTGTGGCCTCTATCCTTGACATCAACATCACCTGGTAACCTGAAAGATGGATAATTATTAACACCCACCCTACACCTAGCAAATCAGAAATTCTAAGAACAGGGCCCAGCAATGTTTAAGTGAAGCGTCCGGGTAATTCTGTGCATGCTATCACTTGAGAACCACTAAAGGAAAAGAATTCACAGAACCATTTTGTTTATATACCATGTTGGATAAGAATCTTGGTCTTACCCATGACAGTCAAAGGACCTCCATCAGACTGGAGAGGCACCCCAGCTCAACAAACAGCTCAAGGTCCTTGTCAAGAGAATATAATCTCAAATGCATAACCATTCAATACTCGAGCTTTCAGCTATCCTAGGCCATTTTCTGTGATGGAGACCAATACAGAAGAGTACAGAACTACTCACTCCTAGCCCTAGTGCATATTATCCTAACCAAACTCTCTATACCAATTTTGTTACTAATTTGATTTAAAAATATAATCTGCAGTGTTTCTACAGATTTCTACTACATACCGTGAGCCTCTTTTGTCACAATTTTTATTCATGATGTTGTTTTACTGGTCAAAGCCACCAAAAATGCACTGTGAACAAGGTGAGGCATAAATATGTGTACCCTTCCCCTTTTATAAACTTAATGCCACTGTAATACTTAATAGGGTATACATCCTTTACTTGTCCCCATCACCCTAAGGGGTAAAAGAATTCAGAGAAAGGATATAACCTTTAAAAGTTCCTTGCAATCATACCATTTTCTAGAGGAGGTACTTCCTGGTGTACTCTATAGCCAGAAATTCACCTTCCTCATTAATAAAATCTAAAATAAAATTATTTTTAGGATACACAATACTACAGCTAGCCAACTCAAGCCTTACCAGGGTCACTCTCATATGCCAAATTTATCAACAGTTAAAAGAAAACTGTAAAACATGAAGGTGTTTACAAAAGTTTCCTTTGGGCTTCCCTGGTGGTGCAGTGGTCGAGAGTCTGCCTGCCGATGCAAGGGACACGGGTTTGCGTCCCAGTCCGGGAAGATCCTACATGCCGCAGAGCGGCTAGGCCCATGAGCCACGGCCGCTGAGCCTGCGCGTCTGGAGCCTGTGCTCTGCAACGGGAGAGGCCACAACAGTGAGAGGCCCGTGTACCGCGGAAAAAAAAAAAAAGTTTCCTTTACCCAGGATTAACAGCAGATTAAATGGTGATGGGAAAATTTTCAACTTTATAGCTGGTTAAAGGGGAAACATTCCTCTTAAATAAAGGTTTGCCGTAATCTGGGAAATAGCTGTTACAGATTTATTAATCACTAGCAATTTATTTATGAGAATTTCTGCCTTCAAATGCTATCAAATGAAGATATTAGACATTCTTTTCTCCAACTTGGTATATCTAACAAAGTAGGATCTATGAAAAAAGTTATCATTGACAGAAACAATCAAGGGATTCCTTGATTTGTGTACACAAAATGCTTTGTGTAGCTGCTGTTAGTTAAAAGTTGGAGTTAAACAAAAGCGGGTAATTAGTAAAGGCCAAAATTAAACTATAGAAGTAAACTGGCAAGGATTTTTTGTGCATGTTACATTTAAAAAAGTGTCATCTGCCCCTCAGTGATAGATCATAATATTTCTTTCAACTATTTGATATATCCTTTAATACACTTGGACCTAAGAGTTTCAAAGAGAATCCCTTAAATTCTTACTTTTTTTAAATTAAAAATTTGTTTGACAATAATCTCTCATACCTATAATCCCAACAACTTTGAAAGGCTGGTAAAACCAATTCTTGTTATTCCATGTTACTTCCAACTTTATCGTTAAATACTTAGACATGTCTAAACATGATCTTTTACCATTTCCTCACCCGTAACGTCTTAAAACTCCAAGGTTTTAAAAAACTATGAAGAGAAAAACAAAAAACAAAAACTATGAAGAGTCCCATTTTCAGTTACGTAACAGGAACAAGAAATCCACCAGCAACAAAAGCTTTAAAACTCAGATCTTTAGTTTTTAGAACACTCTAAATTAAAAATGTAATAATTTGTTAAAGCATGCAAAAAGTGTAACAGTGAATAAAAACCACAACTGACAAATATATTGGTTAACATTTCAAACATGTATAACCAATGAACATGGCCTAGGTTTTTTTTTTTATTGGTACTCACTTCAGAAACTTGAATCCACAGATATAAGCAGTATATAACCAGAAAGTTACAAGTAAACACAGATTATACATGCAAATTTCTGTTCACAAAGGTCACATATGCAGTATATGAATTAGAAGCGTGCCTCTAAGATTATGGCCAAACTGTTTTTAAAATGCAGAAATGTAAAATTACATCTTGAAAATATGAAGAGATGGTCTACACACTTCAAAAATCAAATGTGCTTATACCAGATGTATGACAGCTACAGGATTCAAGTGATAAGCAATATCTCAAGAAATTAATACTGGTCAAAGAGAATGGGAATATTTTTACATTTCACTGAAAAATACACTGACTACTAGAATACGAAATCTAGCAGGAACTTAGGGAAAAAATTACAAAATCTAAAGCCAATTACTTAGTATTTCTTATTACCTAAACAGCATGACATTAAAAGAAAACTGCACCTGCATTTTAATTACCAATCTCACATTAATGAAGTTCTCAAAAATTGAAACAAAACCAAAAATGCTTCGAACTGCAAATGAAAAGTCTGCAAGGCTCAGATTAAAATGTGGAATGTTTCAGATGAAAGTAATAAAAATACAATTGGTTTTGTTCTTTATTGAATGGAATCAAAAGTTTTGACATTTCTTTGAAGCTTGGAACTACTAAATTTCACTTCTCTGAATGTTTCTACATATCTTTCTTAGTGGTGCAAGTGTCTTAAGTAGCATATGAAGTCAGTCTCTAACAAGTATTTCTGTCTGTTACCATTTTGATAAAACAAAAACAATTCTTCATTAACTTAACCGGATATGTATTTTTGCTATAACACTTAACACATGAACAGACGTCTATTATTTTTCCACTATAACAAAAGAGTACAATAGTTTCCTAACTATCTGTATTGTATTTAAAAAAGGTTAACATTTAAAAAGAACCATTATTTTCTTTGAAATCATTAAGCTTCTTGCACATCTTAAGCTTCCTTCTTCTGCCTGCGTTCTTCTGCCAATTTATTCAGAAATTTCTGAAAAGAAAATAGAAAAAATTTTTTTACAAGGATTAAGTCACCACAGTGAAACATAACAAATAGATTAACTCCAAAACAAAATATTCTATCCATATTTAGGGACTTGAGTCTAATTTAACTATAACCTTATCAATATTTTTAAGATCCAGTTATTCTTATTAGGCAGGTATGAAACTAAACTGGACACCACAGTAAGGCATGGGAGAAAAACGGTAAAACATGAAAAAGTTATTTAATGTGCAATTAAGACTAACTTATAGAGATGATCAAAGACCATAACAGCCACACAGAAGTATTGCTACACCCAAAGAACTTAGTTAAAATGACACATTTATTTAATGACCCTTCCACTAAGCCAAGCAGACAAAATATTTATATTAAATTGCTGCTACCACTGAAAATAACCACTGTTCTTAATGCTCTGCTTTATATTATAAGTGTTATCTACAATTACCTACAATTATGAATTCTTTAACTCTTACTTTCAAGTTTTTCCCCATTATTTATTTTAATACTTAGTCCTTAAGCCACTAACTAAAACACCAAACTTCAAAATATCCAAACAAATTTGTTATGCTTTACCATGTTGTGCTTTTTAAATGTATCCTTTTATCTTTATATCCTGTTGATCATGAAACTTACTGAATTTTCATTATTAATATATAATAATTTAAAGTCAATGTAAAAATCATTAAGTATGAAGGGATATGGCACTTTATAAAGCTGGCTTTCAGGCCTCCAATATCCAAATTAGAGAAATCAGTCTAACAACCATTTGAGAATACTCAAATAACTTTAATTATACCAAAGAATTTATAACATTTAGAACTATAAATTTAGAAATTACTCAATTATCAACATTTAGTTAAGAGTGTTTTCTAGAAAGAGGCTTAATTAACAGATGTTTCTAGAATTCATTAAACTGCTCAAGGCCCATCAATAAAGAATGTTACCTCCAGGATAAAGCATGCTGGGTCCACAAGACAGTACTTTCCATAAACTTACATGATTTGCTAGTTTTCACTAAACTCTCCTTTTAGATATAGCCTTACCTTTAATTTCTGATAATGAGGAAGGCTGCTGCAATGAGTATTCTTTGCAACTTCTTCATTTGTATAAAAGAGTGAACACAGCTTACAGTAAAACCCTGTTTTAGGTATCACATAGTCTATACCTAGAACACAAACATACATTCTTACAAATTCAGTAAACTGAAGATTTTAATAGTGTTCTCAAATCTTTTTTTCCTGTCAATATAATTTGAATGAGGTAACATTTGTGACAAGTCTAATACAGCCTAAACTAAAACAAAACAAAAACCATGACATTGTTAATAGTTTGTACTTAATTGATGTTTAAGGTCCCACACCTAATTGTTCTCTTAAAAATATTGAAATAGAAAAGGTAAACAAAACAAAAAGCAATGTGAAATTCTCAGAACACTTTATGAGAGAAGAGAACATATTATGGAATGGTAACAAAAGATAATACAAAATCAGGAGACATGGGTAAGAGGAAAAAAGAATGTTCCAATTAAGATTTACAAACTGTTTTGCACAGAAGTAAATTAAGAATGTTATCAGAGCTTATGTAAGACCAATTTAAAAAATCTTATTTAATAAGAGTTTGGGGAGGGTGAGAGGGGAAGAACAAAGCCTTAAATCTCACCAACAGGAACATTGGGCTGATACGGTCCAATTCTATACTCATCTGGGATTGTATAGTCCTCCTTGTTTTCATCACTTTGGCCATCTGCATTTTCACTTGTATCTTTGTTGGGATCATCAGCATTCTCAGCAGATTCAGCACCTGGTTCTGTATTTTCCTCATTTTTAATTCCATTTTCCAACGCTGCTTCATTTTCTTGGTCAAGTTCCTCGATCTTGTCCACCTTAATTTCAACCAAACCATCATCATTTTTGTCACCAGATTTAAATGCCATGCCCGATTTACGAAGTTTCTGAAGTTCCGAATCTTCCTCATCACCAACCTCATCTAGAGTGACAAAACCTTCCATACTCCCTGGGAAACGTCGCTGTTAAGAAAGACAAATTTACTCTGCAACAATTATCCTGCAGCATCCCTTCCATTTGCTTTACTTGAAGGGAAAGGGATAGCGTCTTTGCCTTCATTTTCTCAAAACAAAAAAAAAAAAAAAAAGCTGACTTCTTCCTTTTCCCCCTCTAAATGACTAACCTTTTCAAAAACACCTTAGCCTGTTTTAAAACTAAATAATCGAAGGCTTGCCTCATACAAAGAGGAGAAAGTAAATATGAGGACATTCATATTCTATACTTTCTGAGACTATTCTGCTGCTAGAGAATGTATCGAAGAACGGTAGTTGAAAGATGTCCTTCAAAGAAGGTATGTTATGGTATAAATCTTGCTTAGAGAACATTCAGTCTAAAAATAGCACTGTGGTTTAAAAATCAAGCTCTGGAGCATGACTGCTTTGGTTTAGATTTTGGCTCTGCCATTTATAGGCAGTATAAATAACCACAATCTACTCAATTTTAACATATCTCGATCTGCTCATTCATGAAATGGGGATAACAAAGTATCTATGGCATAGGGTCATTATAAGAATCAGTTAATCAGCACACACAAAGAGCTTAGGAAAAATTATAGCACGTAATAAACGCTCAATAATTATCAGCTCTTAAGAGTGCAAACATAGCAGCCAGAAAAAGAATCTCAAGACTAATTTTTTTGACCAAGCCATCAAAAACTGGAGGTAAGTATTAGTTTCCTAGTAGCTGAGTAATGCTTAGAAGGAACCAATGAAATAGGATTATAAAAATCTCATTTCAATACCCATTTATCTTAAGGAGCTCCAAAGGGGCTCCTTAACATAGGTAGTCAATACACCATGGGTCTCTTGAGTTACTATTCTTTTACCATGTATGTATTTTTGTATTGATACTTGCCTTATATGCTCTTATATGTGACATGTGTTCTAAGAAAAAATGTTTTAAAACCTATTAAAGTATCTAATCAAGGTTACATTTCTTTAATGGGAAAATTCTTTAAATTCAACCATTTTTGACAAAAGGTTTTTAGTGGCCTGGGTCAGTTAAGTTACTGTAAAATTCATATCCCATCTTTTAAAAAACAAGCTGGACCATAAAGGCTGCCTACTACTACTTACACACTACCACTACAAAACAGAATCATATGTAGTTTTAAGTCTTTCTCCTTCATTGCTAAAAAGTTCCCTTTGTGAACTGATATTTTTCTTTTGAAAATCAGTCCTATTTATTTATTGCAGAGTTTAGATTTCAAGGTTTTTATTATTTGTATCTATTTTTTCCTAATATAAGTGACTTCTCTTTACTGTGACCCTAACATATATAATTTGAAACGTTTATCTGATCTCATTTTCTACTAAAACAGGTCAACATATAATCTTCCTTTACCTTTTTAAGCTTTTTCTTGGCAGTTGCTGAAGCACTCGCATTTGCATCTTTTTTCACAACTTTGTCTGAAGGTTCCTTTTTCCCATCAGATGCCACATCCCCTAAATTAGCAAGATCTGTCTCATCTCCCACTGAACTGCCACTTTCTAGCAGTGCTGCTGCTTCTTCTTCATCTACAAGTAGCTCATCTTCAGATTCAAGAAGCATGTTAGGTTCTTGTTCTGCCTGGTCATCCTTTGTATCTTTTTCACCATCTTCTCCTGATTTCTCTTCTTGTTCTTTACCTTCGGTTGTACTTTCAGTCTTCTGGGAACCATCAGTTTTGGATTTCTTATCACTTGGAGATTCTTTGCCATCTGGAGAGTAAGACCTTTTCCTGAAACCAAAAGATACATCTGAATTAATTCACCTAAGCTGGAAAACAAAAGTTTTTAATATACTAGTGTACACAAAGACACAGACACAGACACAAAGGGAAATTACCGGGACTTATCTTTTTTCAGTAAGTCAATGCCTCTGTTGGGAATCTAAAAGACAAAATTTTATAGAAGTTAAATAAATGTATTAGAATTTGTAGAATATATAATTATCCAATTAACTAATGACTGATGACCATCCTTTATATATCAACTAAGCTTATTCAATCTCTGTAACCATATCTAAGAATTTAAGCTGAATATAGTTACCAATTCATTACAATCAACATTTCAATAGAGCAGTGAATAATAAACATTTTGCTATAAGAATGTCATGGCTTGAAAAGCATGAAAACAAGCTTTATAATGAAGTAGAATCAAATACTACATACCCTGAGTACCAATTTTTTGTATTTTTCAGACAGGTCAACTTTTACACATCTCCCTTGAAACCAAAGGGCCTTTTTCAAACAGTGGTCAACCATTGCCATTGCATCTTCTCTGGTCTCCATCTCAATAAAGGCCTGAAAAAAAAAATTAGCAATGACATTATTTTTCAGAGAATTGTACAGAATTTTAGAGCTTGTTTTTTCTACCTGTTAGGAGAATTTAATCTTTAGTATAGAGATAGCAGTAAGAGTTAAAAAACACCCAGTGAAATAAGGGCAATTTGTCAGATTTACAAAGTATCTTGTCCAAATATTAAACCACCTGTATGCAGTCTTTTTGCAAAAGTAATTAAAGTACTAAGCTTAGAAAATATCACTCACAATACATTAAGGAAAATAACAAAAAATTAAAAAGTAAAAGTTTGGAAGGATATAAACTCATGTTACTACAAAAGGGTTAACAAAAAAGAAAGAAAAGATGTTCTCCTTATTGTGAATTTTAAAAATGAAATACAAGTATGACATAACTTAATCCATCCATTAAACTCACATAATTTGAAGTCTTTTTTTAATATCCAGTGTTTGCAAAGCTCTCACTCTCAGACAATGCTGGTGTGACTATAAATGAGTAGTATTTTTTGAAGAGCAAATTGACACCATCAAAGTAAAGAAAGCAAGTATCAGGATCCAAAATTCCAATTCTGAAATTGTACCCTTCAATCAAATGCATAAATTCACATGCCAAAAAGTCCACAGCAGCATTAATGGCACAGCCAAAATACTAGCAACTCTAATATCCATCAACTAAAGAAATTAAATTCATTACAGTTTACTCAATGGAATCATATAATGTGGAAAACAACAGTATGATATAATCCCATCTGAAGTAAGGGGAAAAAGTATACCTATATACACAAAGGAAGATCTTTGGAAGCAAACTCTGGAAACAAATAGTGTTATTAACCAAGCAAGAGAAAAGATCTTTACTTTCCACTTTATTTATTCACTACAAATGAGGATATTAAACAAAAAACAAACAAAACTTAAAGCACTTTGAGAATTAATCTTTAAATAGAGCTTTACTGGAGTATAAATGCTTCACAATACTGTGTTAGTTTCTGCTGTACAACAAAGGGAATCAGCCATATGCATACATATACCCCCATATCCCCTCCCTCTCAAGCCTCCCTCCCAATCCCACCTCTCCAGGTCATCTCAAGGCTCTGAGCTGATCACGCTGTGCTATGCTGCTGCTTCCCACTAGCTAACTATTTTACATTCGATAGTGTATATACGTCAATGCTACTCTCACTTCACCCCAGCTTCCCCCTCTCCCCACTCCATGTCCTCAAGTCCATTCTCTATGTCTATATTCCTGCCCTGCCACTAGGTTCATCGTTTTTTTTTTTTTTAGATTCCATGTGTTAGCACACGGTATTCGATTTTCTTTCTGACTTGCTTCACTCTGTGTGACAGACTCTTGGTTCATCCAACTCACTACAAATAACTCAATTTCGTTTCTTCTTATGGTCGAGTAACACTCCACTGTATGTATGTGCCACATCTTCTTTATCCATTCATCTGTCGATGGACATTTAGAATGGTTCTATGTCCTAGCTATTATAAATAGTGCTGCAGTGCACACTGTGGTACATGACTTTCTTTGAATTATGGTTTTCTTAGGGTATATGCCCAGTAGTGGGACTGCTGGGTCATATGATAGTTCTAATTTTAGTTTTTTAAGGAACCTTCATACTGTTCTCCAAAGTCGTTGTATCAATTTACATTCCCACCAACAGTGCAGGTGAGTTCCCTTTTCACACCCTTTCCACGGGCCTCTCACCGTTGTGGCCTCTCCCGTTGTGGAGCACAGGCTCTGGACGCACAGGCTCAGCAGCCATGGCTCACGGGCCTAGCTGCTCTGCGGCATGTGGGATCTTCCCGGACCGGGGCACGAACCCGTGTCCTCTGCATCGGCAGGCGGACTCTCAACCACTGCGCCACCAGGGAAGCCCTAGATTTTTTGATAATGGCCATTCTGACCAGCATGAGGTGATACCTCATTGTAGTTTTGATTCGCATTTCTCTAATAATTAGTGATGTTGAGCAGCTTTTCATGTACCTCTTGGCCATCTGTATGTCTTCTTTGGTGAAATGTCTATTTAGGTCTTCTGCCCATTTTTTTAATTAAATTGTTTGTTTTTTTGATATTGAGCTCCATGAGCTGTTTTTTGGATATTGAGCTGTTTGTATATTTTGGAGATTAACCCTTTGCCCATTGTTTCATCTGCAAATACTTTCTCCCATTCTGAGGGGTGTCTTTTCGTCTTGTTTATGGTTTCCTTTGCTGTGCAAAAGCTTTTAAGTTTACTTAGGTACCATTTGTTTACTCCTTTGTTGAAAATTAGGTGACCCTATGTGCGTGGGTTTATCTCTGGGCTTTCTATCCTGTACCGTTGATCTATATTTCTGTTTTCGTGCCAGTACCATACTGTCTTGATTACTGTAGCTTTGTAGTATAGTTTGAAGTCAGGGAGCCTGAATCCTCCAGCTCCGTTTTTCTTTCTCAAGATTGCTTTGGCTATTTGGGGTCTTCCGTGCTTCCTTACAAATTGCAAAATTTTTTGTTCTAATTCTGTGAAGAATGCCATTGGTACTTTGACAGGGATTGCACTGAATCTGTAGATTGCTTTGGGTAGTACAGTCATTTTTACAATATTGATTCTTCCAATCCAAGAACATGGTGCATTTCTCCACCTGTTTATGTCATCTTTGATTTCTTTCATCAGTGTTCTATAGTGTTTTCTATAGTGTTCTATAGTGTTTTCTGAGTACAACAAGTCTTTCACCTCCTTACATAGGTTTATTCCTAGGTATTTTATTCTTTTTGTTGCAATGTTAAATGGGATTGTTTCCTTAATGTCTCTTTCTTATCTTTTGTTGTTAGTGTATAGAAATGCCAGAGATTTCTGTGCATTAATTTTGTATCCTGCAACCTTACCAAATTCACTGATTAGTTCTAGTAGTTTTCTGATGGCACCTTTAGGATTTTCTATGTAGAGTAGAAAATTATGTCACGTCATCTACAAACAGTGACAGTTTTACTTCTTTTCCAATTTGGATTCCTTTTATTTCTTTTTCTTCTCTGATTGCCGTGGCTAGGACTTCCAAAACTATGCTGAGTGGCAAGAGTGGACAACCTTGTCTTGTTCCTGATCTTAGTGGAAATGCTTTCAGTTTTTCACCACTGAGTATGATGTTTGCTGTGGATTTGTCATATATGGCCTTTACTATGTTGAAGAAGGTTCCCTCTATGCCCATTTTTCTGGAGAGATTTTACCATAAATAGGTGTTGAATTTTGTCAAAAGCGTTTTCTGCATCTATTAAGATGATCGTATGGTTTTTATTCCTTAATTTGTTAATATAGTGTATCACATCGACTGATTTGCGTATACTGAAGAATCCTTGTATCCCTGAGACAAATGCCGTTTGATCATGGTGTATGATCCTTTTAATATGTTGTTGGATTTTGTTTGCTAGTATTTTGTTCAGGATTTTTCTATCTGTGTTCATCAGTGATATTGGTCTGTAATTTTCTTCTTTTGTAGTATCTTTGTCTTGTTTGGGTATCAGGGTGATGGTGAATTTGGAAGTGTTCCTCCCTCTGCAATTTTTTGAAGAGTTTAAGAAGGATCGGTGTTAGCTCTTCTCTCAATGTTTGATAGAATTCGCCTACTATGACTTTTAAAAAACTACCACTTGGCTAGAAAATTTATCTATAATAAGCTAAAGAACCACTCCACCTTGGGCGCCAAATTACCTCCCCGCCCTTTCTTCACTACAAATGACATTAAAAAAACAAAAGGAAACAAAAAACTTAAAGCACTCTGAGAAATAATCTTTTTCAAAACTTCAACATGTATATTACCTGACTCTTCATCCTCATCAGTATGTAATTCTTAATTTTCCCATAAGGCTCAGCAAGCTTGAGGACAGCACTGTCAGAATAGCCAGAATGAGGTAAATTGCTGAGATGTATCACACGTCCAAGCTCTTGTTTTTGATCAAACTTCTGGTCTGGCTTCCCTTCAGGTTTCTTTAATTTAATAAATGGGAAAAAAAGGGAGGGAGGGGGAGTCAAACGTTGGTAGGTATGCCACAATTATTAGTTAATAGTTAAGATTATCCTAGATATTAGCAACAATTTAAAATAGCTGTAAGTTAGTAAATATTAAAATGATGTATCAAATGGTAATACAAATCTGGAAAAACAGATATTACCTTTATTCTTTTATACTTCTGGGATAAATGAACTCTCACTGGCTTGCCAAATACTAATGCTGGTGTGGTTGTATAATAATCCACTGCAGCCTGAGCATCTTCTGTGGTTGCCATTTCAATAAATGCCTAAAATGGCAAAAAAAATTATTTCCCCAAACCAACCAAATTCCACACTGCCCGAAGTCTTTCCAAAAATATTTAACCATTAAATAGAAAGCATTTTCAAGAATCTTAAAGCAAAACAAGAAACCCAGCATTGCTAATTTGCTATTTATTAACGATCACCTCAGATTTTATTACCGTCATGATACTAAAACTATCATTTATTATGCCTACTGAATCTGAAATAATTTGGTGCCATTTGGGTAAAAGTTTGAAACGGTTTTCCAAATAATTATTCATATATAGCCCTTATAGTAGCAGCAATGTAATAATGACAATGTTACTGCTTAAGAATCACAATTTATAAAGTTACTAATAATCCATTAGTACTAGAATTTATTACTGATTAGTTCAACTATTGGCCCTTTGCTCTATATTACATTCCATATTGATGATTTAAGCTCTAACACAAAATTAAGTAATTCTCTTAGGAAATATTTTAGTGATGAATAAATACTACACTTAACTCATACCTCATTAATTTTATTTAGAATCAGATGATTTGAAATAACTCCAAATGGTTCCACCAGCTGTAATAGTTGATATCTCAAGTTTTTCCCTCGCTGGAAATCCATGATGTGAACAACTCGGCTTGTTTCCTATCCATTAGGAAAAAATCAAGTTAGTAAACAAGTCTCTTTAGAAGCAATACGAAACAGGTTATGTATTATATTAAAACTTTATAATCTACAGTCAACCGGAAAAAACTAAATATTTAAAATATGTCACTGGGGCAAATCTCAAAGTTCCAGAAAACAGTATCTGCACTGATATTTAAATTGACTACCTTGTACATAATTAGATAGCAAAGTTCTTAACTTTGAATCAAGGTGAGATCTCTAGACTATGGACATAGGAAAACAAAGTTTTAACTCTTATCAAAGTCATATATAAAAGCCCGATGATTTTCAAACTAAAGCAATCTTCCTAATAAAGACTACGACACAAATTCAATTAGCAAGGATTCAAGTCAAATCACATTCCCCCAAACAGCTAAAACAGTAAAATCAAGAGCTTTATTACTGACCACTCTGCCTTTTTGCATGTGTCTTGGTCCTTGCAGGTTTCCATTTCCAGCACCTTTATAGGGGAAAAGTGTATTTTTCAGTCTTGTAATAAATATACTTGCGCTACCAGGCTATTTTAATTGAAAAACAGACATCTTTCAAACACAAATGAAGGATATTACAAATATCATATGAGTACCACATGTCTTCTCATACAATGTTATTTCTGAGTTACAGTTCTATGACACTTCTTTTGCCTAACATCACTGCATTTAATTTTTATGATAAAAGCTCTTAGGGGAAGGTAACATGAATTTTATAATCACCCAGATTTCCTCTTGGTCCAACTGCTGGTCCCCCAAGATGAAATGAGGGAGGCGGAGGTCCCAGAATTCCTGGTGCTGGGTTTGTAGATTGCTGCAACATGAATGGATCACCCCTAGTATAATGTGAAAACATAAAATACAAAGCATGATAAAGTCCATCAGAAATAACTATGATTTACTGCTAAAACATTTGTATGACTATGATTCCAATCTTTGGGGGCATTTATGTATGAAGTAACTAGGGAAAAATCTATAACAATAAAAAAAAATTACTACGTAAGATAGTTTCTAGAAATTCTTTCACCCACAGTGACTTTTACCAAACTCTCATATTCAATAAAGAAATTAAGAAAATATTGTTTATGAAATGTTGAAAAATTTAACCTGAATTCCTTACATTGATCTCCTTTACAAACAATAGCTTAAAAAATTTAACTTACATTGTGTGTCCTGTATCATTGTCAGGATTCCATTCTGGGTAGCTTTAAAAAGACCAGAAAATTAACTTTAAAATAAAACTGTCCTACTCACAAAGTAGCCTCGTTTGGCCTTTAAAATAGAGATTATTCATTAGTAAAGTTATACAGAGTCTAAGTGTTAGAAATATTACAGTTTAAAAACATGACATGTAGATATTTCCAAAGGAAAATTTCAGAGTTTCAAATTAATCCAAATGAAGGAGAATAAACTTGTTCTGTATTGCCTGAAAATGTAGGTAATGTATGTTGCAATTAAAATACTCCTATATTTGTTTTTTTTTGGCCATGCCACATGGCTTGTATCCCCAACCAGAGACTGAACCCGGGCCCTTGGCATTGAAATTGTGTGTAGTCCTAACCACTGGGCCGCTAGAGAATTCCCTATATTTGTTAATTCACAAAGAGGAAAAGTGTTGCATGAGGGACTGGAAATGTGGGTTATATAGGGAAACAAAGACTGACCACAGATTTTCTTTCTCCAATATTAAATACCAAGATCAGAGCTGAGTTGTGGCACTAGACAGAAAGGACAGCCCCAACAGAGCATAGCATACGTGAAAATGGCCACTTCAGTGAACAATGGGTATCATGTGCTATTTAGGCAGGGAGATTCTTTAGGAATTCAATTTCATTCTAGCAACTTAAACTCAGAATCAAAAGTATCTCAAAAGCAAAAAATACATCCTGAAGGGTTGTGCTTGAAAACTAACTTGTAACTTCTAGTAATTTCCCCCCTTTCCCCATCTTCTATGTTCTTAGAGCACGTATTACTGTTACTGCAAATGCTCTTATGAACCTGTTCTATGTATCAAAGGCTATCTTTAAGTCTATTAATTCTTTCAATTTGTATAAAAAGAACCAACGTTTATTAACCCTAGAAATAATATTAAATAACAAAGTACCAATACCACTGCATCTAACATCCCATATACAATTCCAGATCTAAACATTTTGTTTGTAAATGGCATTGCCTGGACAGTATCAACTATGCAATAATAACAATGTGGATATTATACAAGTAAACGGTGAAATCCCCAAAGCAATCAATGGGTGTTTCTGATTCACGATAAGGATGCTTTAAAGGTATTTCAAACTCCTACATTTCAAGAAGAAGCTGGCATCGACGACTGTGACTTGCTCCATTGATATGTTGACTCCACTCCTGTAGCAAAGTAAATTAGCAGAATTAACAAAAATAAAACTAAGGTATTTTCATTTGAACCATTCAAAATCTGGGATGTTAATCTATACATAGTATCATAAGCAGAACAAACACCTGCCCATTCACTAATCACACTGAATTAATTTAAAACCATTTCTCTGAATCCTTGTAGCTTGATCCTGCCCTCAAATACGCCATGCACATTCTTGGAAAAACTGGATAACTTGGTTAATATACTAACAGACCTGACAGGGAAAAGATATAGAGTTAATAAAGATCAAGAGTAGTAACTGACCTTGAGATCAGCAGGCATATTAATTTCTGCTGTGGACGAAACTGAATTTTATTTACGTATCATTAGAATTGCTTTTAAAGAACTCTAAATATGATAAAAATATCCATGCTTATATCACTTTAGAAAATATATACTATAAATGTGAATAATTAGTTAAAAAGAGTATCTTTAATTTCATCCAGCCTTTAAGGTATGTTGCAAGTGTACTACAGCCATAAAAAGCTAAGTTGATTCAACAGGAGTGACTTTTCTAGAAAATGCTCCCATTTATCAAAAAACTAAGCTCCCATTATATTTCCCAAAATCAGAGAAGCAAATTTTAGGAGTGTCCATTTCTAAATTTTAGGGAGGAAAACATTTTATTTCTTCAGTATTTGCTCCTGTGTGATTATTTTAAATTTGAAGGGATTAATTTTTTCCTATTTTATGCATATAAACTTTCCTTTCTTTAAAAATTCACATGTAAATGGTTAACATTTTAGGCAATATTAAGAAAGAGTTAGGAAAAAGTAGGCTTTGCTGCCAGACTGCCTACATTTAATTCCCAAGGTGCCACTTACTAGATGTGAATCCTTCGTATAAGTTATTTAAATTCACTGTGATTCAATATCCGCCTAGGATTTTGTGAAAAGTAATGAATTAATAAAGGTAACCTGTTTATCAGAACATTGCCAGGCACATAGGAAGTGCTAATAATAAAAAAATTTTAATTAAAAAGAAAGAAAAGCAACTATTATTACATTGCTTATAAAGAAAGCTATCTTGTTTTACACTTCCCACTTTACAAGTATTATTGTTTCACAAATCCCCACAAAATAAGGCAACTTTTCCAACACCCACACTACCTAATACGTTATATTTGGAATATAAAACATGGTCAGGCAATGTTTTAAAAAGGGAGTCTCACTTAGAGCTGAACTAAAATAAGGAACCAAATTACAAGAGACACCATTCTGAAACTTTTCAAAAAGTCATTTTATAAATGGGATCTAATTTTTAAAAACTAACTTACATTTTGAGAGTTTACACACATTTCCATGCCCTAATAAAATTAACTAAAACTGTGAAAGAGGTAAAATGGAACACATTCAAACAGAATGGTACTTCTAAGAACTTGGGGAACTATCTCTCAAAGCTGGATTGTCTTTTTAAAATAATGGCTAATAAGTAAGGAACTGGAAGAGATCTCTCCAGCTGGCTCTACAACCAGATATTTGGGATATAAAACATTTCTATTTGCAAAGCAACAGACCACTGACTTGTTGGAGGCCACTTTAAAAATGGCTGTAACTAAGAGGCGCCATAGGTAAAGTTCACAAAATTCAGAAGCGGGACTAAACAAATACGTTAACTTAGAATTTTCTTAACGAAAAATATTCAGATTTAAAATATCCTTGAGAAGTAGTGTGTTGGGAGAGGAGCAAAAGTTACCCTATTAGGCATGCTTCTAATTAATAGGAGATGGAAAGGATATACCTAGTTGACCAGAGGTTATTTATAGCCAATCCCCCATGATCTTTAAAGGTTCAAACTTGTGAAAGTATGGCTGGTCTTACAAAGTACTAGAAGGAAAGCCAAGATCAAAGAATCAGTTATATATCTCCCAAACCCACCCATTACTAATCTGCACTACCATACCTGATCTTTTACTGTTTGGTCTAAGGTGAGGATTAAGAGCCAAAAGTTTTTAAAAAAACCTATATCCTTGGATTCTACATGGAGGTAACTCTCACATCAGATTAATAAAGAGTAAGGATTCACTTTTTGAATTCAGAAGTTCTGCAGGAGAAACTACATTCACCTTGATGTCACTGAGATACCTAAATTATATAAAGAAAAGATAATTTGGAGAAGCACATGTGGAATGGCAGAATAAAGAATAACTTAAGGGCTTCTAGAATACTGAAAGGAAAATATGAACTCAAGTGACAAGACAGTGAAAGGGCTGTAGTGGCCAGTTTTCTTTAAGTGAAAGGAATTTTGAGGCAAGTTTGAGGCTGTGTAGAAAAGCAACTTGATGTTCTACAATGACCTAGAAAGAAATAAAAGCAACACCATCACTGAAAGTTACTTAAAATATCAAAAATAATGATGACAAATTAGATGTTTCTCACCTAAAAGTTTCTTATTTCATAGTAAGAAGAAGTTTTGATCATGTAGGCTATTTAACATTACTACTAAGTGAAAAGAACAGATTTTCCAAGTTATGCAGCAATACCAGAGAGCAGGATTAAATGTTAAAAAATTTTTCATTATCTACTTTCTCTAAACTCATTGATTCTACATCAGCTATAAATTAAAAAGATCCCTACTAAAAGTGAGTATTTATTTTTTCCATAATGAAGATATCCAGAAAACATTAGCTATGTTAAGGAAACTAAAATACATTAAGAGAATCCAGGTGCTAAAACTTCTTAAAATTGGTACAATTTACAAATACCATAAATTTTGTAAACCAAACAATCAAAGGGCCTCTAAAGTAATTCTTAACTGTTTCTAAATTTGTGATAAAATACCCAAACTAGCTAGGGTACATGCATTTTTACAGGTTAAAAGTACCTCTTGCACTAGGTTAGGTGTCTTACTCTTGAATTCAAAGTTTCAAATATATTCTTTTGTCAATTTAGGTCCATTTACTATCATTATTTATTAATATAACTGTTAAGGAACTAGAAGGTAACAACATTTGGAGAGAAAAGTATAATCATATATAAAAATAGAAACTTTTTTTCTAATTAAAGCCCTTCTTGGTTTTCTTTTGTGTTCATTTGTTTTCCCACGTGTAAGCAGCAAGGTTAAATTACTGCTCAAAGTCAGGAAAAGGAGACTTCCAACAACAGCTTTTGATTTATGATGACTCCAGTAGCAAAGATTTTAAGTCCCTTACAATCACTTTGAGACACTGTACTAGTTATCTTACTTAGAGCTTAGAGAACCTATCTGAGAATATTTCTCGTATTGCCATTTCTGCGAACAGGCAAGAAGTAACAAAATATTTTGAGTCACCAAAGTTTAATGGACCTTTTCATTAAATCAATTCATACCAGACCTAAAACTTGAAGGTTGGTACTGAACAAAAACTAAATTCCATGATATACTTAGTGTATCCAACAAATTTGAAAAAGGAAAACACCAACTAAATATAATTCCCTAACTTTTATGAGTTTGTGGTTCTGTCTTAAATGAAAATTAATCTATGAACGTAAATTTAGCATTTGAAGTTAATTTATTTTGACATGGATTAAAGATTAAAATATTCCTTGTATACTTAAATTATTGATGCATTAATTCAAAAGATTTTTGTATTATAAGGAATACATACATATATTTAGCTAGGAATTATTCTTAAAGATATTTTTCAAAGTACTCTGTAAATTCAAATAATATAAGAAGTCTCTTCTCTTATTTATCTGAGACAAAAATATTGAGATCCAAACACAGAAAAGGGATTGATTGGTAATACTTTTAAAAAGATTAAAAATAAAATCTCTAATGACCTATATGATATAGTTTGCTCAAAAATCAACACTCACTTAAAAATGCATTTAAAAGGGATAGATATGAAAAGAAAAGGACCCTTCCAAATGTTAATGTGAAGAAAAAACCCTGTAACAGTAACCATCAAATCAGTTTCATGGCAGCAACATGTTCCAGTTAAGTACAGCACATCAGGAAAAATGGATGGTCAGATTACAGATCAAGCTAGTGGAGTGCTATAATGTTGACCTTAAGTCAACTGCACTGTATTTTGGGGGGGAAAAAAACAGTGCGAATGATTAGCATTGAAAACGTTGAAAGAGAAAAGACAATATATTTAAAAGGACATTTTGAAAAAGTTCCCATTTTGCCAGATGTGATAATTAAAGCAAAGGAGAATTAGATTTTTTTTTCCTCAAATGACTATACCAGAAGTCTAAGCCTAAGTCAGAAAAAGAACATGCTTATGAGGAACACAGAGCAGGATACTGCAGTAGTTGATTTTCCCAAGTCTCTAAAGGGATAGATGCAATATGGGATAATAAAAAGTGAGTTTTGAAGTATGTTTAAGAAAGTTGTGGAAAAGGAGAAAAAAAATGATGAAAAAATTTCAGTTATAGCATGAGAGTTTGTGTTAAAGGGAAATTAAAAAAGGAAGAATGAACTAATCTAAAATATGAAATATACTGAAACAAATACCAGGGCTCTACATTAACTCTTTCCCTGTAGCCACAGATAAGGAAAAAAAGAGAATTGTTCAAGAATACAACTTTACTACATACGAATCAGTAATTAAGACAGATGGAGAGCTGATTATCTAGCATCCTGAATGGCAGAGCACATTGACTGCAAAAAACCCAAAAAACAAAAAAAATATATATACTTAAAACAATTCAACAAAGCAGACAAAAAACCTGCTTAAATATACGATTAAGAAGAACATATTGATGCCAAAAACCAACAAGATAATCCCAGTGGATGACAGCTTTGTGGCCAGAAGTAATCTAGGCAGATTGTATTAATGTAAAGCCCTGGTTTAAAATGCTCAAAAACAATTACCTTCGAAATAAAGTAAGTGTTCTCAAAAGTATAAAAATTCTTGATCAACTCAATGTCACCAGACTACAGAATTAGAGTAAAAGATATAGGTAAATACAGAATAGGCACTACAACGTAAAAGAAATTAGAAGTATCTGTTGCATTAACTCACCTTATTAGAATGAACTGGCAAATCACATATAGAGCACAGATGGGGATAACCCTTCGGTAAGAGTCCATGGAAGTCTTCAATATTGCTACTTGGAGGAGCGCCCCTCTTTTTCTCAAAGAGAGATCTCTCTTGTAAGGGGCCAGGACCACGTCCCATTCTCTCATACTCACTGTCAAATTTATGATAGTTATGCGAGGTCTCACCAAAAAAAGAATCATCCCTACACCTTTCTCCATCTCTTAATCTGTCATCTTCATAATCCATTCTGTCATAATAACCAGATTCTTGAGAACGACTTCCATGGTCATAATCAAGCACTGGGTTGAGACTAGGACCACGATCATCAAAACTATCTCTTCTAAAGTGCCTTTTTTCTTCCCAATCGTCCCTAGGTACTCTGTATGGTGGCTCCCGTGTAGCAGATCTGCCATCTCTACCATAACTCAATGTAGGGCCTTCTTCAGTTCTCCTCCTTTTAAGCTGTAGAAGGATTTGGGGCAAGTTCTCAGGAGTAATCTTGTCCTCTGGATAACGACTCAGTTCATCTAAGTCTCTAGCAGACAGACCAAAGCTGGCCAAAATGTTACTGGCCTGGTCTGCATCTCCACGGTGTTGAGAAGACAAAGGGAGCGGACCTCTACTTCCAATGTTAAATATAGACTGCAAATTATGGGAAGAAGTACTAGCAGAAGACAGTGCACTATGAGCTCCTTGTTGATTCAATGAAGAACTCATTCCAAGATTCATTAAACTAGCAAGGCGTGCAGTACCCTGGTTCATCCTTCCAAGAGATGCTGGCATACTTAAAGACTGGGTAGCAGCAGCAAGAAGGCCTATTCCCGCTGCAGACAGGTCACACCCACGGCCCTGTTCCCTGCTGCAGACAGGTCACGCCCATGACCCTGCGAGTCCCTACCGAGAGATGACTGCTGGAATGACTTGGACATTGTAGAACTATCTCTTGTCTAGTTTATAGATTAAAAAAAAAAATTTTAGAAGATGGCCAAAAAGAAAGCTCAAACTAGAAAACTAGGTTAACTTTGCTTCAAAAAATGGTAACGCCAAGAAAAAGGATCAATAAGGACTGTAGAATCTTCTTCAAGCTGAGAACCAGCAGACAACTCTGTAGAAAAATAAGCAATTTTAGTCATAAATCCCTTTAAGTAGATGCCGTTTTTTTAGAAAAAAAACTTATGCATCATGTTGATTAAAAAAAAAAAACATTTAAGATCTCAAACTTACAAGGAATTACATAACTTAAACAGATTTCAGATGTATGCAGAGCCTGCATATAGATATTTAAAAAGTAGTCTTTCATGCTAAAGTTTAACTATTAAAGGGAATTTCATACTGAATTTAAAAACATTTCAATTGAAGGGTTAGATGTCTGAATACATCAAAATTTCAATAAAAATATAGATGGGTCTCTTCTTTTAGAAGAATAAAAATACACCCTATAGTATGATGCTTAAGTTCCAGAAGACTAAAAACAAAAAACCAAGGTCAGCAAGTCAAAGATGAATCAGTTGTATTCTGTTTTAGAAAATGAGACCTATTAACACTATCAGAAAGAACCAAGTAAAATCACAAGTAAACGAAGCTTAGGTGTCAAGTACCTAGTATAAGATCTAAGATCAAACACAACCAGTTGAGACCTTTATGCAGCAAAATCAAATTGAGGTAAAGACAGATGTGAAGAAAAATAAGTGACTTCCTACAGTTTAAGGATTTCTGCACAAATTTAAGCCAATTAACTGCCTTCTTACTGTCCATCCTATATCAGGCAGTTGCTTATTTCATCTCTAATCTTAAAAGGTAAGGAGAACTAAATATGCTCAGTACAGAAATAGGAGACCTCCCAAGAAAAAACCCAGGTACAGGAAGTATAGGTGATTTAAAGAAGTGAAACTCCCCAAGGTAGCAGCCATCGACATTCACTTAATGCTCAGGGCCACAGCACCCCTAGAGCTCAAAACAGGTGAAAATGAAAATGAGATCTTGCTTACACAGATTTCTGTAAACATAGATACTTTCACAAGAATAGCCCAATCACCTTGAAAATTTAAATTCTGAATGTGATCCTCCAAGATGTGTTTCCTCCAAGACGTGAAAATAATGAAATTATTTTCATCTTCTTTCTTAAATTGTTATTTTACCTCAGAAACTGTTACATAAGAATTTGGAAAGCATTTGTGTGAGCTCATAAAGTACCAGTTAAATGATATACACAATAAATGTCCTAGATGAAACAATTTTATAATCACAATTACATACGAGGTTGATAGGTCTTAAATTGTTTGCTACATAATTCTACTAGGAAGCATTGCTCAGTTAACTTTTATACATTTCAACACCCATACCCCTAAGTACTGTTAGTTTAAAATATTAAACTTTATTAATGTAAAAACCAGGCAATATTCAATAGTTACAAGTCTATTATGGGACCAATTCCACCAATGACAGATTAAAGTAAGGAAACACTGGATGAAAACAGTGGTAGAAGAAGTATAAAAAAAAGTTGCAGGCAAGACTTTAGATTTTACAAAAAGATGTAACAAAGTTAAAAAGACACAGAAATGCTATCAGAGGTGACTGGAAGTACAGAAGATGTTTTTGCACACCAAGAAAGACGAATTTGAGAAGACACTAAAGAAACTAGTTCTAGATGAGATCCATTATGTAAACTACTTAGGCCTTAAGATTAATAAAGACAAGACTAAGTGTACATCATTGGATGAAGGTTTCTTTGATATGACTTTTAAATGCCATACAGAATGCCGGTTGAAATATTGTGTCAACACTGGTAGGACCCTCTAAGTTTTCATGTATACTTTGTTAAAAAAAAAAAAAAAACATTAAGAGGGTTTTTCGAAATCAAAATTTCAATGTATAGAGGTTACTATTAATTACAGCTTTGCCCTTCATTTGAGAGCCAAAGCTTTGTATTATTGAAAAGCCAGTCTTCTGAAAGAACTATTCTTTCCCTTATGGGAATTATACTGCAGCATTATGATCGTATGTACATTTTTTAATTGATCATATTTTAAGGGAAATAAATGATTGTTGCATTACAGAATTATTTTTCTTTGTAGCATATATGAAAATGGTGGATCTGCAAAAAGTAAAGGTTAAGAGAAGTAAAGGTAAAAGGTGATAACCTTAAGACAAACAGAAAATGGATGTCAGAAAAACTAAGAAAAAGGGCAAGACAAACTATGTAAATCCCATGACAACTTGTAATTCTTAAGAATAACAATAGTTTTGTGACTCAGAGTTTCAACTTAAAATGCTCAGCTTCAACTTAAAATGCAGTCCCACACAAAGACATGAGAGTAGCATTACTGAAAAAGAACTTAAGTCAGACTTTTGATGGAAACAAAGCTCTTAAAAATCTTTTATTAGAACAAAGAAATTAAGAGAAATCAGACAAGACAGCACTGGTGCAAGAACATTTACAAAAAGTTCCTTTAGATCTTCGGTCAATGGTGAACATAAGACGAACAAGTCACTTTAAAAGGCTCCTTTAAGCAAGACCTACTGCCTATGAAAGTTAGCACAATACTGAGAGATTTACTAAGTTACCAAGATTTTTAAAAAAGATTAGCTTCTTTTACTGTATTTTCCCCCCATCATTATAAAGTTGCCTTTTCACAGAGATTAATAAAGCTTGAAAATAATTCCTTTGAGATAACTAACCTAGAATGTAATATCAAAATCCAATTTACCCATTTAAATTCTTTATACAATAAATTCTAAATGCCCATTAATGCAGGATCTTTCACTTCCAAAAGAGAAAGTACCTCCACCCCACTCCCAACCAGGAAACATCAGAAAAAGAACAGCTAATTAGGCTTGCTTTTACAAATGCCATTTAACTACAATCTGATATTCAAATTCTCAATGAACAGATTTAAAGCTCATTTTAATAAACAATTCTAAATTATTAACCTGGAACTTAAACCTAGTTCATGATATAAATGCTACTAAAGATGTTAGCTTCACCTTCAACAGAGGAACAAGTATCTGTATGTATGGTTAAGAAATAAGCTTCAGTTAATAATATTCAACCTCCACATTCCATGAATACTATCTGATACTCTTTATTGGATTTATTTTCTTCAACAATTAAAAGAAATGGAAAACTAAAATATTTCAGAAAACAAATGAAAGCTTAACACATCCAGAAAGTTCATGGAGAAAACAAAGTTGTTTCATATTTCGATTTCCTATGTAAAATAAAGATTACCTATTAGTCCTATTACATATTCATTCTTTCAAAGGGTTATTTAGCAGGAAGTGAAATGACCATAAGCAGACTTTAGTTCTTAAAAAATCTTCAGCTTCTAAATTTAAAAATGCTATGTTTTAAAGGTATCTAATACCATCATATGGATCTTTATGTTTTCAATTGTGTGAAATAATCACTTCTTAAAAACAATTTTTTTTTTTTTTTTTTTTTGCGGTACACCGGCTTGGCGGGCCTCTCACTGTTGTGGCCTCTCCTGTTGCGGAGCACAGGCTC